AGAAGAGCGGAATTTACTCTCGAGGGAGTTGGCTGATTGTTAATCCTGATGGGGTGATGTAGGTGTGGTTGGTGGTGATTTCAACATGGTTCTGAGTCGAAATGAGCGCTCTAGGGATCACTTCTCTGGATCTATTGCATCTGAATTCAAAGATAATTTGGAGGCTCTTAATCTGGCTGATATCACACTGATGGGTGGCTCTTGGACTTAAGAGTAACTAGCGAGAATCACCTACTTTCTCCAGAATTGATTGATATCTAGTTGATCTATCTCTCATTCTCATATTGATTGTCGGGTTTATGTCAAAAGGTATTGCTTAGGCCATTTCTGACCATTTTTTCATTTCTCTAAATGATAATGGCATTTGTTGGATAACAAAGGGCTAAAACTTTTCTGTTTCGATAACAAAGGGCTAAAACTTGATTTCAAGGAGATGGTCAGAAGGCTATGGAATAGTTCAAGAATTGAAGGATCAACAAGCTTCATCATTGCATCTAAACTCAAAATTCTGAAATCTGAAATCAAAATTTGGACCAGAGAGGTGGGTCTGAAAGAGGAAGGCTATAAAAGAGATATTGGAAGAACTAAATGCATCGGAGAGACAAGAAGGTGTCTCAGGACTAAACTCGGTGGAAAGTAGTAAAAGAAACCAACTGAAATTTGACTTGGCTGACAGGCTCCATATGGGGGCGATATCCTGGAAACAAAAATCCAGAGAAAAGTGGCTTAAAGGAGACAGGAATACAAAATTTTTTCACTATCTTGTGAATCGTGGAAGAAGAATAAATTATGTTGAGAATTTGAATTTTGTGGGGGAAATTATATATAAGAATGATGTAATGAGGGAAGCTGCAAAAGAGTTTTATCAACAGTGGTACACCGAAGAATTTTCTCTCTACTTGAAGCTTGACAATCTACACTTTGATAAGCTTGATAGCTCCACCTCCAAATTGCTAGAAGAGGAGTTCTCTGAAAAAGAGATTTTCACTGTCTTGTGAATCGTAGGAGAAGAATAAATTATGTTGAGAATTTGAATTTTGTGGGGGAAATTATATATAAGAATGATGTGATGAGGGAAGCTGCGAAAGAGTTTTATCAACAGTGGTACACTGAAGAATTTTCTCTCTGCTTGAAGCTTGACAACCTACACTTTGATAAGCTTGATAGCTCCACCTCCAAATTGCTAGAAGAGGAGTTCTCTGAAAAAGAGATTTTGGCTGCTCTACAGAACTGTAATGGAGACAAAACTCTAGACCCGGATGGTTTTAATATCAAATTTTTATAGACTTCCTAGAATCTAATTAAAGAGGATGTGATTGGTCTCTTCAAGGAATTCCATTGGGATGGGACTTTTGTCAAATCCTTTAACTCCATTTTAATTGTTCTTCTTGATATGAATATTTTCTTATTTAAATAATTAAGATATTTTTTCTATATAACTCATATCATTAATTTTTTTTATAATATTATAATTATTTAAAATTCTTGTTATAAGGATAATTTCTTTAAGAATTTTATATATATATATATATATGTTACCTATAACACTAAAATACATAAAAAAAAT